TTAGAGATAATGGTTAGGGACAGGGTTGGGGGTAGGGTTAGGGGTAGGGTTAGGGTTAGAGATATGGTTAGTGATAGCGTTAGCGATAATGGTTAGGGATAGGGTTGGGGTTACTGATAGGGTTAGAGATAGGGTTAGGGTTAGAGATAGGATTAGGGATAATGGTTAGGTATACGGTTATCGTTAGGGATAGGGTTAGGGTAAGAGATAGGGTTAGAGATAGGGTTAGAGAGAGGGTTAGAGATAGTTTTAGGGATACCGTTAGGGATAATGGTTACGAATAGGGTTAGGGTTATGGATAGGGTTAGAGATAGGGTTAGGGTTAGAGATACGGCTAGAGATAGGGTTAGGGATAGCATTAGGGATAATGGTTAGGGATAGGGATAGGGTTAGGGATAGGGTTAGAGATAGGGTTAGGGATAGGGTTAGAGATAGGGTTAGGGATATTGTTAGGGATAATGGTTCGGGATAGGGTTAGGGATGATGGTTAAGGTTAGAGATAGGGGTAGGGTTAGAAAAAGGGTTAAGAATATTTGTTAGGGACAGGGTTAAGGGTAGGATTAGGGTTAGGGATAGGGTTAGAGATAGGGTTGGAGATGGGGTTAGGGATAATGGTTAGGGATTGGGTTGGGGTTAGGGATAGGGTTAGGGTTAGAGATAAGGTTAGGGTAAGAGATAGGGTTAGAGATAATGGTTATCGATAGGGTTGCGGTTAGGGTTATGGATAGGATTAGGGATAATGGTTAGGGATAGCGGTAGAGATTGGGTTAGGGATAGTGTTAGGGATAATGGTTAGGAATAGGGTTGGGATTAGAGTAAGGGGTAGGGTTAGGGTTACGGATGGGGTTAGGGTAAAAGATAGGGTTAGAGATAAAGGTTAGAGATAGGGTTAGGGTTAGAGATATGGTTACAGATAGAGTTAGGGTTAGAGATACGGTTAGAGATAGGGTTAGGGTTGGAGATAGGGTTAGGGTAAGAGATACGGTTAGAGATAGGGTTAGGGACAGCGTTAGGGATAATGGTTAGGGATATGGTTAGGGATAATGGTTAGGGATAGGATTGGGGTGAGGGATAAGGTTAGAGATAGGGTTAGGGCTAGAGATAGGGTTAGGGTAAGAGATACGGTTAGAGATAGGGTTAGGGACAGCGTTAGGGATAATGGTTAGGGATATGGTTAGGGATAATGGTTAGGGTTAGAAAACGTGTTAGAGATAATGGTTAGGGATAGGGTTAGAGATTCTGGTTAGGGTTAGAGATAGGGTTAGGGTTAGAGATACGGTTAGAGATCGGGTTAGGCACAGCGTTACGAATAATGGTTAGGGATAGGATTGGGGTGAGGGATAAGGTTAGAGATTGGGTTAGGGTTAGAGATTCGGTTAAAGATAGGGTTAGGGTTAGAGATACGGTTAGAGAGAGGGTTAGGGATAGCGTTAGGGATAATGGTTAGGGATCAGATTAGGGTGAGGGATAAGGTTAGAGATAGGGTTAGGGTTAGAGATACGGTTAGAGATAGGGTTAGGGACAGCGTTAGGGATAATGGTTAGGGATAGGGTTAGGGATAATGGTTAGGGTTAGAAAACGTGTTAGGGATAATGGTTGGGACAGGGTTGGGGGTAAGGTTAGGTGTAAGTTAGGGATAGGGTTAGAGATATGGTTAGGGTTAGAGATAGGGTTAGAGATAATGGTTAGGGATAGGGT